TTATTGAAATTTTATTTAATTTTCTTAACTATTTTTAATATTACAATACAAAAAAATAAATAAAGTTTTTAATGTGGCAACTAAAATGAAAATCCAGTGAAAATAGTGAAAATAAAAACTTTATTTCCTCCATCGCACTCTTCTAATTGGAAAACACTATAAAGTCTTTTGTAAACAAGCATCCTTTTTCTATGAATTTTATTTTTGTTTGGTTCTCAGTTCGAATCCTCAAATTGGTGCCGGGGTTGGAACTGAAGTTGAAGTTGTCATTTGAATTCTCCTTTGAATTCAACTTCATTGTAAATATGCGAAAGGAAAGTTCAGTTCGCGTTCGTTACTTTTTTGTTGCCTGCGTTGTGCTAGCAACTGAAAAGAATAATTTTCTCCTTCATAAATTCATGGAACTCTGATTCTGATTCTGATTCGTATTCAGATTAAAGTTGTAATTACTTATTGCGTGGATTAGCAGTTGGAAACATTTTGGGGAACTGCATTAAAGGAGCATTTATCTGCGACATGAAAAATGCTCTGTTAATTCGCTATTGTTATCTTTTTGAATGGAGTTAATTAAAAAATAATATGAAGTTGTCACCTAAAAAATGGTTTTAACATTTGTAATTTTACAATAAAAATGTAATATTTTAATATAAAAGTTTTACTGCAAAACATGAATATACTGGAACCATCATAATTTTGCGAACATTTGGAAAATATGTTTCGTGTTTTCAATTCGATTAAAACGAATGTTAATGTTTTAATTTATATCTCATTTGGTTGCAATTTGTAGATAATTAAATGAAGTGAAATTTTGCATTTATTTAATTGGTTTTAAATATAGCAATTTATTCCAAAACTGTCACTGATAACTCCTCACCCGTCTTCGACCACAGATATTTGCAGCGGTTCTCATCATTTGCACCGCAAATTGCAACTTCTGCTGGCTGCAACTGCAGCATAAATTGCTGCAATAAAGTAAAATTAAATAAAAACATTTAATTTTACGTAAAATATTGTAATTAAGATAAATTTTGAATTTTAATGGCTGTGCTGCTGATGTGGTAGTTTCAGAGCTTAATTTGTTATTTGTTGAATTTTCCCTTAAAGGTTGTGATGGTTCCCTTATTTAAAAATTTATTTGCTAAAATAGCAATGTAATTTATACTTTTTTCCAACAATTTTTAATTCAATTACTTGATTTTTTCATTGTTGTTGTTGCTGCTGCTGCTACTACTGCAGTTATTAATGTAATTAATGTAAATGATGTTGCATGTGCATCCGATCATTTGTGCTTCGCAAATCAACAATGTTTTCAATTTGTTCAAGCGATAATAACACAGAACGTTGGATTTCATTATTAAAAAATATTAACGACGACTTAATTTGATTGAAATTAAAAATAATATATAAAATAAAAGTATACTAAAATAATATGTAATAACCAAATGACAACTCATCTTTGTCATTGCCTTTATGCAACAATTCATTTTAATCGACGAAAAAAAAAGCAATTCAAAATAAAATAATTATTACACAAGCGAATAAATTGCAATTTTTATTATTTTATTTATCACAGAAAATATAATTTTTTTTAATCAGATAAAAACCTAACGTAATCAGATCTCTCCGTACTTTTTCAGGTATCGTAGTGCATCTTTGCATTACAAAAATATGGGAAATTTATATAATTATTTTTTAAGTGATATTTTCTATATTTTCAGTGTCTCGGTAGAAATTTATTGCAGTTATGTATTAACTAGTATCACCGTCTACGCCTCGCCTCACCTAAGATAGAAAATGTCATATCAAATTTGATTGGAATTTTATTAAATCAAAAACAAAATTAAATCTTTTTTGTGATGAAAGAAGAATGAGTATTATACCACCTAAATCAGAACAAATGAATCTAGTGATAACTAATAACAGCAAATCCCTTTCTTGCAATTTTTATAAAGTCAGGTTTTTTTTCTCCCTCACCTTTGCAGTAGGTGGAAAGCATCGAAAGCTACAGTGCAAGAGATTTCAACCCAATAAAACCACCTCTTAGGAATGACAATGGAAGATTGCAGCCGCATGTGGCGGATGCAACCTCATTCCAATAATCAAGGTAGAGAGGCTAGAGAAAGATGCTTAATACCTAGCGGACTAGGTTCATCTAAGCCCTGACTCCTGATCGTGAAACAGGGAAATTGGGTGATGGTGAAGGGGGTGAGGTTATCACGCAAGCGCGGGGGTGCTAGTTGTAGACTCTGTGACCGGGGTCACGAAAGCCGTGGTTGAAAAGGGGGATGATGGAGGGATCAGAGTCACACTCATCGAAATAAATGGAAAAATATTGGGGGTTTGTGGCGTAAAGCCTGAACAAAGTCGGTAGGGAAGGTGAGTGGAAATATGTTATCCGCTCAATAAGTTTGTAAATGCAAAATAATATACATATAGATATCTCTTGACATTGTAAAAATGGCAAGTGTATATGTAAATGATACAGAGAATTGGAAAATGAATAACGAAATTTCTAAAATCGAATTTGTTTGACTATTTTTTATTAGTAGTAATGACTTGTTTATGACCTATTTTTTGACTTTAATATATCTTATTAGTGAAGGGATTTTTAGACGTGGTTCCATTAAATTTATCTCAGGCTAGCCTCATGCCTAATAGGTATATTTTTTATATACAATCATGAAATTTTAATTTACATTTTAATAACAAATAATATTTTTATTACTTATATATTACTCGGTACTTAATTTAATGTGCAATAATATAGTATAAAATAATTTATTACAAGTATTTTGTTTTAATTATTTTTAATATGAATATTTACATGTACATTCATATTTTTTGAAGTAACTTCAATAAATTTATTGATAATTTATAATTATTTTATCAACTATATAATTATATATAATCTATTAAACTCAATAATCTATTAAGAATAATTATTATTTTTAAATATAAATTAAAAATTAATAAAGTATTCTTTATAAAAGATTTATTTAATTCATTATGATATCTCTGGTTGATATCAGTTTGACACACAATAATATTGTATTCAAGTTATCAAATTTAGTAGTTTGGTAGATATACCCTATGGGAAATGTTTTAACTTTAATATTAAATAACTTTTATCGTGAGTATCTGACGTCGACACACACATATATTTTTCCATTAACACGAGGACTATATGCGTCTTTGATAAGTAAAGGTTTAGGTTCTCTCAAATGATTGCCGATTCAACTCTGAAGTGAAATGATGGGCCCAAATTTCGTAGAGACAGAAAATATCCCTTTATCTCGCTCCAAATAGCTCTCAGAATCAGGACATGTAGTTTCTGATCAACTATAAGCAAAGACAGAATCCACTTGAGAAAAAAGTCGAAGATTTTAAAGTTCCGTTAAAATCTTCAAGGTTTCAGCTATCTCCTCCAACTTTACTTTACGGTTTGCCTAAACGATTTTGTGAATTTGTTTGATATTTTCTGGTGTCATCAAGATTTTAGGTGGTCGGCATTATCGGTGTTGATACAGTCACTTTAAATCACAGTCACTCTGAATAAGACTTTTCTGTCACAGTATTTTTTCCAATCAAGAAGCAATAATAAATATAAACACAAAATTGCTTTGAATATTTTGCTGCTCTGAAGATATAAAAAGTGGAATCATTAAAACGCCTCTAACTAAAACGTTAATCGTTCAAAGGTCATGAAATTTTAACACATATGATTTGTAAGTTATAGGTTATTATAGGAACCTATAGATACAGCCGATTATTATTAAACCCTATCTGGATTCAAATCTCAATAAGATTTGGTCTTATAAACTAAAATGACTACTTTAAAGATTACTTTGTAGCTTTGACTCAGGAAAAGAACTTGATGAGTTCCTTAAAGGCAGAGGGAATTTTAACACTATCTGCTGTCGCTAGGAACTAATATATGGGGTCTAAAACCTCGCTTCAATAAATCTTTTAAAAATACTCTATCTCAGAAAAAGAGTTTCAAGCACTCCTGATATATCCAAAAATGTATACTTAAATTTACATAGAGGCGTAACTCTATTTGGGATTGCCAGAGTCCAAAAGGGTCTATGCGTCTCTGGCAGTTATAGCCGCATTATTCTAATCTATTCTAATTTATTAATATTAATATTACTACTCTAATTATTCTAATCTATGTAATCTATGACTAAAAAGTAAAGCGGATATTGAATTTATCTAGAAAAATATATATTTTAGCTTACCTTTATATATATTACTTCATTATTTTAAGTTCATATTTAGTATGTATGTATGAATTAGCATAGATTACATTAAACAAGCGTTACTTTAGAGACTCCCTAATGCTTTGTTTTCCTTTTGTGGCGAAAGATATTAATTGAGATTTTTCATGTATTTATTTAAATTTTAGATATGCGAAAAATTTCACAATTGGCAATAGAAATATTACAACCTTATGTCAACTACATATCTTTTACTAATAACTGTTGCGTTAATATTTGGTATTTTAGGGTTTGAATAATCTTAAGAATTGGTATTTTAAAGGTTCGCATTTCAGTTTTACTGTTTAGTACTTATTTGGTTACTTACTTTCATCTATAACTTCCTCAACATAGGGTATATGGCAATAATATCCTATCTTAATTGAGTCCTGTTAGGCGATGTACGGTATATGCATTTAATTATAAGTACCAACCCCTTCTCTATAGTTCTCTGTCATGTCTTGGACCGCTAGGAGCTCAGTTCTCTGTTGTTTTCAACGTAACTCTTATCTTACTATGTTGTTTCTTTAGGTACAGTAACGTAGGTATATGTTATTTATTATGTGTCTGCTATTGTTATTTCTTGTAGCAACTTTCTAGATTTTAAATTTAGTTTTTATTTAAATGCCTTTCCATGGTATTTTAGTGCAAAATTTCCATGGTCACATACTAAGTTGCTTTGCATACAATTTAAAGTGTTTCATATTAAGCACAGCTTGTCTTTATAAAAATTTGTTTTGCTATTTTGTGCGCATTTTTTGTCTATTGAATGCAGTTTTTATCTGATGTCTCCATTGTATTCATTTTGTATTTGATCTCTGGCAAAGCCAACAACAAAAAATACATTTAAGCTCTGATAATGACATGGAATGTCGAGTTCCCTTAGCTTCCCTTTGTCTAGCTCGCTGAATTTTGTATATTTTTTCTTCTTTGAGGTAATTTTAATCAACACTGAATGTAGTGTAATGTGATGACATTTACTCCCAATTCATTCCATGCACACCTCAACATAGTGCGACTGCACTGCAGTTGCCATCGCTGCAAATTTCTTATCAGTAACTGCTTTGTTAGTGATTGCTTTGGCAAATTAAAAGTTGCTTCTTTTATTATTTACTCTTCTAATGATTTTTTTTTTTCATTTTTAAATTATTTTTCAAATATTTTGTTTATTTTGATTTCTTGTAATGAAATTTTCTTGTCTTTCAATGTCAGTCCATTGACTTACAATGCCAATAACAAAGTCATCTAATCAAGTTCACATCCTCTAAGGAGTGTGGATATCAGAAGGGTTTCCTTTAAAGTGTTTATCCTTAAATTTAATTTTCACTTATATACTTATTCATTCACTATTTAAGTCCATTTTATTTTGTGATAGACAATAAATTTAAATAAAACTAAACTGCACCTTGGCAACTTAAAAGTTTTTCTGCTTAAAGTTATCACTTTTAATATTAAAATGAGTCTGCTTTATGATATTGTCTAGCATAGAATGGCAGTGAGACGACGTAGTGGGAAAAATAAAAAGATTTTCCGTTTTTCACATAAAAATTTTAAAATTATTTTACATTTTGCGTGCTGCATTATGCATTCCAAATGAGTTTCATGTCTTCCCGTTGCAGCTGTCATTGTTCTATTTATTTTCTTTTTTATTTATTTTTTATATTATTTTTTTTTATTTTATTTTATTTTTCATTATATAATTTTTTCTTCTTATTTGTTTTCTTTTTATTTTCGCATTCATTTATTCATTTCTCACACGCTAAAAAAAAAAGAAACTACTAGGATCTGTCATGCTTCTCCAGTGCCGCTTTTAACGACGGAAATGAAATGGTATTTCCTGCTCCGTACCACACGTCGTTTCCGTTTCGTATTTTCACTAAATTGTTTTGATATCATATTTCACTTTATTCATTTAATAACTTCACGCTTTGTGATTTTTATTATATCATTAAAAATTTCTCCACTTATATTTTTTCCACGTCCTGAATGAAATCGTCCTCAAAGGCTAATTTTTGCATAAAATTTTAATATTTCACGAAAGAAGATTAAAAATTGTGTATTTTTTACACTCAAATGAATATTATTTTAAAATATTATTAAAGCTTAAAAATGTTTGTATTGTTGAGTTTTAAATATAGTTATACACTTTTAATAATTATTATCCATACATTATTTAATGTTGTGAAGTATTTTAAACGAGCTTAAGGTCTTTAGATAGTCAAAAGTAATTGACCAATCACCCAAATATAGGTTATTTTTTTAGCTGACTGAGAACTTAGACTTAGACAAGACAAAAATATGATTGGAATAAATTTTATATATTTTTTGAATATGATTTGCGGCTGGTCCATTCGATTACCCCAATTCTTGACTATATTTTGCAATAAATGTGGGGGTGTGGTGGGTAAACTAAGGCTACGATTATAACTCGTAAACACATGCAGCATCCACCGAAACTGAGAGTTGGTGACATTGCGATAAATTAGGAGGATAGCATCAAATACCTGAGAAACACGTTTGATAAGCGGGTCACTTATCACAAGCACATACAGGACAAAAATAAGTAGTTGTGCGAAAACACTGCATTGTGCTTATGACCACTTTTTAAACACAATAATCTTAGCGCTAAGAACAAAAAGTTGATCTACAGTTTTATAATCATATCGATACTTCTCTATGGGTGTCTCGCGTGTAGCAAAGCTGCCAACTCTACTATCCAGAAGCTACAAGTTGTCAATTCTCTCCGAAGACTCTTCAAAGTGCTATGGTACATCCGCACGCATAGAACCGCTCAAAAAATACATAAGGGACAGAGCTCTAGAGCTATACGCGAAAACTGACAGGCTGCCCTACAGAGCACTATCTAATCTCAGAGCAGTCACTAGCCATTCGAGGCGGTATGCAGATGTTAGATCAATCATCATATAATCCGTGAAGCTTATGAGGTATACATATATTAGTCAAAGAGAAGGAAGGACCTCTGAAGAAACCCAGCTAACAAAGAATAAAAGTGCCCAGTTGCATTAACTCGGGAAAACAACATAAGTATGGCATCAATGGTGGCATTGACTTTGGCTTTCAATGCTTCAAAAGTTACTGAAGCACAGCTTCGATAGTTCTCATGCAGCTAGAAAACACTTTATACAATACCAGACCTATTCGATGGCAACTTTGAAAAACTTAAAATTAAACATTCAGAATTAAGCGTGTAATTCACAATAGTACAGTAATGTAATGATATTTTAAATAACTCCTTGTTTGTCCTGTATTTCGGCATAAATCGAAACTGGAACCCCAACACAATTTTTTTTCTCGGACTAACGAGAAGGAAAATTGTACATTTTGCTTATCTCCTGTCGTAGAAATGGGTAGCATATATGGTACATATTTAGGAAACAACCTGTATATAACATTTAAATGATTAAAAAATACAACGGACAATGCTGGTTGGAATTTATTCATAGTTAAATTTTATTTATGTACAGATTAAATTTATTTTTTTATCAAGCTTAATAAAAAAATAAATATTTTTATTTAATAAAATTAAATAACAAAGACTTTTTATTTATTAATTTTTAATATGATTAAAATTAATTAAACAAATATCTTCAGTTTTTTACTTTTAATTGAAATAGCAATGACTTCTTTTAAATAAAAATTAAAAATCCTTTCTTCATTACAGCTAATCTCATTGGAATCGATACGATTCACCATCAGACACTCTCTGGACAGGAGATGGATCAAATGAATGAGCATCAACTTGACAAAGTGGCCAACAATGTCAGTGTTTTCTATCGAGTTACGCCACGCCACAAACTTGACATTGTAAAATCCCTACAACGCACCGGAAATATTGTGGGCATGACAGGTGATGGCGTAAACGATGGAGTAGCGTTAAAAAAAGCAGACATAGGAATAGCAATGGGTAAAAATGGTACTGACGTTTGCAAAGAAGCAGCAGATATGATTTTGGTCAACGACGATTTTCACACAATCATGTAAGTTCAGTTCCAATTGTCAATCAATTTTAATTAAATTTCTTTAACCATTTTCATATGTTTACAGTGCGGCTATAGAGGAGGGCAAGGCTATATTCTACAATATACGCAATTTTGTGCGCTTTCAACTTAGTACTTCAATTGCGGCACTCTCTCTAATTGCACTTGCCACACTTATGGGCATTGCAAATCCTTTAAATGCTATGCAAATTCTATGGATTAATATTATAATGGACGGACCGCCAGCACAGTCGCTTGGTGTTGAACCTGTGGATCATGATGTATTGAAACAAAAACCGCGCAACGTTAAACAGCCAATGATAACGAAATCGGTTATAGTTAATGTTTTGCTCAGTGCTAGCATTATAATACTTGGCACACTATGGGTGTTCCAACGAGAAATGGCTGATGGCACACTTGGCAAAACCAAACGTGATACTACCATGACATTCACCTGCTTCGTTTTCTTTGATATGTTTAATGCTCTGTCATGCCGTTCCCAGACAAAGAGCGTTTTTAAAATTGGTCTCACCTCGAATAAAATGTTCCTCATGGCGGTTGGGTTTTCAATTATTGGACAAATGCTTGTGATTTATTTTCCACCTCTTCAAATGGTATTCCAGACGGAAGCACTCTCTGTATACGATATACTCTTCTTGCTCTCGCTAACTTCCTCGGTACTCATTGTTGCAGAAATTAAGAAATGGTTTGAACGCACCATGGAGCGTAAATTATACAAAACAAGATCTGAGTTGGATTTCGTATGACAAATCGCAAGCGCTGGAAGAAAGTTGAATAAAAAATCCGATTAAGCTTATTAAAATAGCAACTATTAAGGAGCTGAAGCGAGAGCAGACAGTACAGAAAAAAGAGTGAGAAACGTATTATTGAGAGTTATTTTTACTTTTTTTTAAATACGCATTAAAATCGTTAAGTTAGCTAGAGAAAATGATATTATATAAGTAACGAGCTGGGAAGGAACGATTGTGAACGAGCAGGGGGAAAATAAGAATTATATTTTATATGTCTTCACCCTTTTTGAGAATAAATGTGAGCAGTGTTTGAATATAATTTTATATATATATATAATTCGTTTTTAGTTTTAATTACATTTGTACGTTGTCAGTTTATATATTTTTAAGTAGCAAATTCTTTTTTTTTTTTTTGATTTTGTTTTTTCATTTGTATTATATGTCTAAGTTAATTAATTTGTAATTTGCTTTCAAGTTGTATGTCACAGCAAACAATGCTAAAGAATGTCTCGCAGTCACAAATATAAATATTAATTTTAATTTTTTGATTTTTTTCCTAGTAGTTTTTTAAAATATGACACACCACAAATAAATATTATTTATAAATAAAATAGAATCAAGCAGTAGTAGAAATTAAGTTAGATAAATTCATTTAATCAATGACGTATTTGTAATTTATTTATTATATACAAAGAATATCTTGTTTATTTTATATCGAAATTTTAATGATATTTTTTTATGTATGTTTAATATTGTTTATCTACTGCTTAAAGTGTGAAATAATTATTTAATTTAACCATTTTAAAATCGAATTTTTTTTTACGATTAATAACATTTCATTTTATTGAGTAGCAAACATCTGTCAAATTTAAAATCTTAAATGTGATATAAGCTTAAGTTGTTATTAAAGAAATATTTTGATTTTATTAGTTATATCTATATTAAATTAATTGAATAAAATTTTATTTAAACATAACAAAATACATATTTGCATTTTACTTTTAATGTTTTAATTTATTTTTTATTTTTATTTTTTAACTATTTAATTTATTTTTTATTTTTTTTTTTAACTATTTAATTTTTTAAATTATTATTTATATGTTGTTTTTATATATATGTGTATATAATTTAAATTTTAGCTCACTTGAAATTAACGTGACCTAATTTAGTAAATTAGTGGTTTATGGCAATATTGGCAAGGAGTAGAATGCAGTGTAAAAAAAGAAAAATGCGATAAATATATATAAAAACAAATTAATAACTAAAAAAGTAAGAAACAAATAAAAAAGACGTTTTGTAAAACAGAAATTAGATGCAATGCCGAAGCGAACAGTATCCTGAATAATCAAAATTTTTGGAAAAATCAACAGAAAATTCTTCTAGCGCAAATTTGGACTTTGATATATTTTGTATTATTTTGTCAGAAATACCAAAAATAAAGTGCATGACAAAATTAATTAAAAACTAACGAAATTTTAAATTTTGTTATTTATATTATTTAAGTTAAGATATTAAAAGTTAATAATTTTGAAATCAATTAAATAGTTTGTTAAGAGCACTTTTTCTTGTCGAAGCACCAATAAGAAAAACAGAAGAAGCCTTGAAAGAAATTGTTTGAAGCTAAAATAATATAAAAAAATAAGATAATAAATTTAAGCAATAAGAATTATTAATTGATTGTAGAATGATTTATTGTATATCAAGAACTAGAGACATTGTGAACATTAAAATGAAAAATAGTTTGTAGCAGTACATGATGTTAATGTTACTTAATATTAAACAAATACTTATAGTTTTTTTCAAATTAAAGCAAATTGGAATTATTTACAAAATTTTTCAGAAAATAAAAACAATTTTAATAATCTGAATATTAATATTAAACTTTTTATTCTTGTAGCAAATTTTGTTTTCATTTTTTTAAATTATAAAAAAATAAATAAAAAAAAACAGTTTTAAGTTAAACGCAGAGATAAAACAACTTAAAAACACTTAATTATTTAATTCATACTAAAATAAATCTTTGTAAACCAGTACTATTGTAGTAAAGTTTTTATATAGTACATAATATCACTTTATAATATAAATACACGTATATTATTAGTCATCAAAAGAAATTATGTATTGATACAGTGAAAGCTCTGTTAAACGGACTCTCATAAAAAGTTATTTCCTTTATCCTGTTTCTATACTAGCTAGACTTTTGCAGGACTTTTGCACACACTTAATTTTTCTCTAACACAGAAATTTTTATTTACTGACAAAATTTTTAAAAAATATATTTAATACAAATTCAAACGTGAGTAAATCCTGATTTACTGTCGGAAAAGAAAATATGCTCTTCACACAGCAAAGTTAAGTGATCTTAAGGAAAGAGTGTTAAGTGTATACTCACACTAGTTTTTGCTTTATTTTTGCTACTACAAACAGAAATATTTCATGAGAGACAACTTAAGCAATTTTTGCGATAAAATAATAATATTTGCAATAATTCAGATGTTTCAATATCTCAATAAAGACGGACTCTTTAGCGTTCTTGCATAAGATAGTTGTGTTTCAAAACAACAAGCACATGTACAACAGCAGCACCTAAAGAGAGTTAAGCAATTAATGAAGATTAACTAACGCAGTGTGAATAGCTTATAAGCACACAAACGGCTTATGCACGCTTTACAAGGACAAAATCCACAGGAACTCAAAAATATAACCTCTTATAGGCTATTCACACAGTACAAGTAATTTTTTTAATTAGAATGCTGTGGTATCACAACGACCCAATAGGTCTAAGTGTTAGTTTTAACTATTTTGGATTAAATCAAATATGATATTGACGTTTTTGGCTATACAGATAGTGAATCATATAATAGTTATAGTTTCCACTCTCTTAACTACACAAAATTTCTGGAAACTAGGAAGAGGAACGCTGAAGAGAGTTTTCACTGTATTGTTAAACGATCAATTTTCATTAGTAGGAAAACTTTATACGTAAAAATACATTAATGCTAGGTGTTATGGCGTTTTTACTACTGACTTGCTACAACTACACTCACCATTTTTGAAATGCATGTCAACCTAATGGGGCTTATCACAAATATCAACGTCTGCGTTGTTAAATCGTTTTAATCAATCAAGTACTCATCAATGACGTTGGTGAGAACATTTTCCCGTAACGCCTAATGCACGATGAAACTACAGTCTCCGCGAGAGTAGTTGACGATTCTTATTGTAGTCCAATTATATGGAATACAGTAGTCAGCGACTGTTGCTTAATTGTATGCAGTATTGTTGAAATACATTTCCTCAACTCAATTATCAGCAACTATAGTTTCATCGTGTGTTGAGTATAAGGTTGACATAAGGCTATTAAGTAGTTTCTGTCTCTTCTCCAATAATAATTTTTAATCACTTAATCACTAATAACAATTAAATAATATGGTTTTCAATATTGAAATATTTTTTAGGATCATTAGAAAGATAAGTGTTTTAACTATTCAAATCGTTTGGAAAATTAATTAACATTATAATAAACTAATTTAACATAAATGGCAAGAAAATCTAATTCTTTTATAATTATTAATAATGAATATTAGAAACTTGTCATTAATAAGTACAAGACAAGCAATTAAGAATGGCTGGGTAATCCTGCCATCAAGCAAAACTCATACAAAAAATATTTTATTGTTCTTAAAAATATATTTAATTAATACTTTTAAATCATCATCACTCAATATATCATCAATGCAATCAACATAAAACACAACATTTTGAAACCTCATTATTATCATATCTCTTAGACAAGAATGAAATATAACATTTGGAAAAATATTAAATGTTAAACATTGATAGAAAACATATCATTAATTTTGATTTAAAATTTTATTATGAAAAACAAAAATAAATAAATTTGAAACTGCACTTACTACCTAAACGCAAATTGTATTAAGGATTCTTCACAAGGCATTATATTAAAATTTAAAAAAAAATTCAAACAATTTTCAAATCGCTTTTACTAAGAAATTATTAAAATCACAAAAATTGCATTTTTCGTAAAATTAACAACATTATGACATTTTGTATCTTGTATCTTGCAATCTAAGCCACTTTGCACTGAATTTAAACTGAAAGTACGATTGAACGAAAACTTGGAATGAGTAAAAATTGCTCAAGTTTTAATATTTAAATTTAAGTGAATTAATTTATATTTAGAATAACTATTAAGTTCACTATCCAATAACTTTCACTTTCCAATAAAATTAAACTCAAAAAAAAAAAAGATACTCAAAACAATTTATTTAGATATTTAGTAGAATTTTAATTTAAATTAATTATTAGAATTATATTTTTATTAAGTTTAAATTAACATTTTTTTTACATATACAGTAATCCCCGCTATAACGCGGTAGCTTGGTTCCGCGTTATAGAAGTATTCCGTACACCCCTTATAAACACGTGCATGGGTATGTGAAGCTAATTATGAACTGTACAAATCCCCGCGTTATATGGGGAAATTCCCGTGGTATACGGAGGATTATAATCGCTTAATATGAAAACGCGTTGTAAGAGTACCGCGTTATAGGGGGAGATTACCGTACTTCATATATATACTTTATATATACTGCTCTAATCCTATCAAATTTAATTTGTTTTATATATATTATAACTAATATCATTTTTTTTAATTTTAACTCTGTATATATGTAACATTGTAAATTATGAGATTAAAAGTATTTTTGTTTTTTGTTGTAAATCCACTCATCCTAAATAACTTGTATGTGTTTAATTTTATTGGAAGTTATTAATTATGAAAATAAATTAAATACAAAATTATTAATTCCTAAAGGACCAAAATATTAAAGTTTATATGTCAACTCACGAAATTTTAAACCATCAGCTCTCGTATATCATAAAAAATATCACACCAATTAGGCATTAAAACTATACTTATCTGTAAAAGATTTTTAAGCCTAAATTAATTATTAATATGTATTAATAAATATAAATAATTATTAATATAAATAATTAATTATTTATTATTAATCAATCGTAAAACTAAACGTCACATACCCACACGCATACAAATACATCTCATCCACGTTGGTAACAATAATTAGTTATATAAGATTTATAAATATAAATACAAATAATTACATTTAATTACAATTATTTATATACAAAATAAAAAATTAATTTTGAAAAACACAAAAAAACAGCAAAGTATGTTTGAGTTAGACATAAATAAGTTTCGATGTTTATTACTCGTAATAATGAAATCGTTTAAGTCAATCACTACACAGAAATAAATACATACATATATATATAAAAATCGCTTTACAAAACTATAAGCATGCATACATACTTATTTACATATATAGTATATACATAAAATATATTTATATAATTTACATCATAAATATATTATTGCATAAATGTTTTGGTGTATTTTAGAAAAAAGCAAGCAAACAATTTCATTAAAAATTATTAAATATATTTGAGTTTCAAGCACTTTGCAATTAAAGGTTTTATTTGGTAATTACGATTTTTAAGATAAATTATTGAATTTTTTTCATGAATAATTAATTTTAAATTGCAAATTTGCTCTATCTGTGCTATTAAATATAAGCTTTATTCTGTGTAATTTTATGAAATAGTTTTTATTTTTTTTTCTGTCAGAACTTAATTACCTTCATTAAGATGAACTCACTTGTTCCGATTGTGTACAACTTTGACTCTATACTATAAACTATAAAAATTGTTCTAAACTAAATCTACTAAGTAAATTATTGAAAGTGTAATAATATTAAAAATAATATTTAATACAATATAACTTAATAAAAGTCTTTATGTAGAAATAATCAAAAATGTACTTATTTCTTTACTGTACCTATATATATAATAATATAATGAATTAGGGTTAAGGTAGGATATTTAAATACATTAAGTATAATACTATTTTCCAAAATCCTGTTCATTTATAATATATATTTCTTATATAAAAGCCCAGCGCATTGTGGCATTAACTATAGACGCAAAAGTAGTAGTTATCTTAGGATACTTAGGTTTTGAGACATCACGAAAAAAATACAAAGCAATCATTCATTATGTTAAAGCTGTTTTGAGCTAGTGCACTTTTACTCTTTTTTAACTCGAAGTATTTTCAAAACCCCTCTTAACACCTTGACTAGCTTATTGTTTATCATTTCATCAGACTAAGCAATAATTGACCTCAGATCTGCATACGTCCCCGAGGAGCTTGTAACCGTTTTGATATTTGATGTCTGTCAGTTTTCGCAAATAATTTCAGGGCTCTATCCTTAATGTATTTTTTGATGGGATCAATCTTGATGTCCCTAAGGATGTCATTCGTCCTAATGTACCATGGAACTTTGAAAAGTCTTCTCATAGTCTGGCTTTGTGCAATTTCTAGCTGGTGAATAGTAGTGTTTGAAGCTT